GCTGGAGCTTGGGGAATGGAATAGGGAAGCTGGAGCATAGGGAATGGAATAGGGAAGCTGGAGCTTGGGGAATGGAAAAGGGAAGCTGGAGCTTGGGGAATGGAATAGGGAAGCTGGAGCATAGGGAATGGAATAGGGAAGCTGGAGCTTGGGGAATGGAATAGGGAAGCTGGAGCATAGGAAATGGAATAGGGAAGCTGGAGCTTGGGGAATGGAATAGGGAAGCTGGAGCATGGGGAATGGAATAGGGAAGCTGGAGCATGGGGAATGGAATAGGGAAGCTGGAGCATAGGGAAAGAAACAGTCAAGCAGCAACTTGCTCACAGAAACAAAATATAGCTCCAGATAAAACTTCCTTGTCATTTCCTTGGTAACTAAACAAATGGAAGCTGCATTAGAAGGGACAATGCTTCTTTTAGCTCCGTTCATGTAAAGAAGCGATTGTACCTAGTTAGTAAGCCAACAGAAGCTGTGTTTCTACTAGATTCATTGTACAGTGATTTCATTCATGTATTTTCTAGCATAAAAGCTTATTGCTGACCTAAATATCACAATATCCCCTACTTTACAGAGGTTTATGGGATATTGTAATAAGCACTCCCATCAACAACAAGATAAAAACTTATAAAGTATGCACCCTGTGCTGTCCGATCTGATTGAAAATGAACTTATTCTTTTTTCCATGCAAGCTGTGTGAGTCAGACGTGTATTTTGAAATGGTGCTGCACTAGGCATCACAGATTTTGGGCACCTCCTAATTTAAATTTACCTGCCCCTTCCTGCCAAGGCCACACTTCTTCCTGTTAACTAACACACATTTTGACTGACAGACACACACTCACGAACCAGAACACACTCTCAGATACACTGACATACACACACACAGACTCACTGATTTGACACAATCTGAGAGACACAAACAATCATTCAGACACAGTGACAGACTCGCCCATTCACTGACAGACACACATAAGCACTGACAGGCGCGCCCACTTACTGACAGACACGCACAATCACTCAAACACACACATTCACTGGACACACACACTCAAAGACATTTACTGACAGACATACACACACATTCACTGACAGACAGACACAAACTTACTGACAGAAACACACACTCACACAATGATACACACTCTCACTGACAGACACACAAACACATTCACTGATACACACTCACTCACAATCACTGACACACACACACTCAAATTCACTGACACACAGACACTCACATTCACTGACACTCACATTCACTGACACTCACATTTACTGACACACTCATTTACATTCACTGTCACACATCACGCACACACTCACATTCACAAACACACTCACACACACACACTCACATTCACTGACACACACACTCACTCACATTCACTGACAAACACACACACACACATTTTTCCCCAACACTCACAATTATAATTTGTTTAGATTTAAATCCACCCAGCCTCCCTACTTTTGGGAGAGCTGGGTGGATTTTTCACCTGGAGTCCAGTGGGTCTGGTGGGCGGGCGTGCAGGCTGGCGGGCGGCCGCACTAAGCTGTCAGCGAGGGAGCTGTAATATCCCTGCTGAGCTCACTCGCGTGCCGCAGAGTGATGCCGGGAGCCGGACTGATGTCATATTCCGACTCCCGGCATTACTGCGGGGTCACACGAGGGAGCTTAGCAGGAGAGCTCAGGGGAAAGTGTTCAGTCAACACCCGCCCGTGGAAAAAACTGGCCGCCTGCTCTGGGGGTGCCCAAAGGTGGCATGCCTGCCAGCTCTTGGGCCCCCATAAAACAAGGCAAACAAGGCATTAGCCTGGGCATTTGGGGTCAGTGTTGTTTGCCGCCGCCTGGAAAGTGCTGCCCAAGGCAAATGCCTTGTTTGCCTAGCAGTAGATACAGCCCTGGTGTGAGTCACAGGCAGGGGAACATATACAGAAACAAAAGTGATTTACTAAAACGTAGAAAGAAACTGTTCCACAGGCCAGAAATAGGATCAGGGGCTGGTGGACTGTTGCCACAGAGTCACCTGCTCCTGTGCTCCCTCTAACAGGGGATAACTCTAAATGTACAACTATATAAAACAGAAACAGGGTCCCTCCAGAACAAAACGGGGGCCCAACAGAGGGAGAACAGTTAACAAACAAGAGGAAACACCAACTTTTATTGCATTTAAGATATTAAAAACTAAACAAGACAAAAGGAGTTAGTCTAAAGTACATAAAAGTTTATGTAATGATCAGCTCCCAAAAAGGGGGAAAAAGTATATATACTGATCCTACCCAAAGGCAACCCAAATAATCAGATACAAACAACCAGATAGGACTTACGTGCTGGGGCATTTGCAAAAGGGAACTACTAGTCTCTACCTGAATCACTATTCCTAATAGCCAAAGAAGTCTACACATAAATAAAAATAAAAGTGTAAAATTAAGTGCTACCCATAAGTATTTCGGAGTGTCGGCACGGCGTCATCAAGGGAAAGTGACGACGACTTTCCCCTGACGATGGTGTCCTGACACGCAGAAGCACATTTATAGGGGTTGCCTTTACGTGGGATAAATATATTAAATATTTGTTTTATGCAAAAGTGATTTTTTGCTTTTCTTTTTTTTTTTTTTAAATATATAAATCTTTATTTTTCTATCATTTTAATAAAAGGACAGTCATAAAGAACTGTATAAAATACATTTTAAACAATTGTTACTCAACATTATTACTCCATACAATTATTTTCAATAACACAGGATAAAAATAAGAAAAGAGCAAGAGGTTAGAGAAAATCCCTCAACAAAGAATTTGGGCAAATTAACCAGCTATTACAATATGAAATTATTTAAGACATAACTTCCTTCCTTTCCCATAACATTCTTATCCTTCCTGGCCTTCCCTTCCCCATCCCTACACTTCTTCTTGCCCTTTCCTTGTCCCTATTTCCACAATACCACAATTTTCATGAAAGCAAGTGTTTAACATGTAAAACCCATGCCAGAAATATATTTTTGCAATTCTTAATTTTGGTCATTCTGCATGAGGTCATTACATTGGCAAAATAAGACATATTCAGAACATTTAAGGATGAAAACATTACCATATAGTCAACATGAGGAAGCATACAGAATGTTTTTATTTTAAAGAAAAATTAAAAGGATTCTCTAGGGCCAGGAAAACATAATAGTTTTCCTGGCACTGCAGGACGTGGAGTGCCCCTCTCCCTCCCACCCCCCCATCCCAAGTTGCTGAAGGGATTAGACCCCTTCAGTGACTTACCGGAGTCCAGCACCGATGTCCCTCGGTGCTGGGTCAGGCCCCACCTATTCTCCACCACCGCTTACGCAAGCCGGCGGGGATGACCTAAAGCGCATGCGTGGTAATGGTAATTCTACAATGCTTTCCTATGGGGATTTCGGCGATGCTGGAGGTCCTCACAGTTTTAGTTTTAAAACACTTTTAGTGTTCTATGAACACGGAAGTCACTCTAGTGGCTGTCTAGTAGACAGCCAATAGAGGAGGACTTAACTCTGCAATGTAAATATTGCAGTTTATGAAAACTGCAATAATTACGCTTGCAGGGTTAAGGATAGTGGGAGTTGGCACCCACACCACTCCAAATTGCAGAATTGGTCTGGGTGCCTGGAGTATTCCTTTAACCGTAAGTCCCACATGTATATAATTACTCGATAATACTAAATCCCCATAGGGCATCACCCTCCTGGAACAACACTTAGTAACAACAGGTTAGTCTTTAAGGATCCTGAATGAGGGGAGGGGGGATATCGGAGATAAGCATAAGGCTATATCCTACCGTGGCAGCTACAATATGTTAACACTGGCCGTTGAATATAATGCTATTCTTTGGCTGCATTGACACAGGGAGAACAGAGTAATGTACTAAAACACACTTAGATAAAAAAGAACACAACAAAACAAAAAGAACCAAAAAAAAGAAACCTAATACTAAGATCAGTTTGGAGCTTCCATGAGGGTAGTGCAACTATCGGTTTTGGATTTTGGCAATACTCAACAAGACTTGAAAGAGGACCTTTCCGATTGCAATCTTTCAGGTTGTGGGATGTGGGCGCTGGTTGCTGAGCCGCTCGGGGGATAAACTCCACCACATTGGAGGGGTCAACTTGTGACAAGCCTGATTCATCTTCATTCAGGGCTTTGAAATGCCCAACTTGTAGAGTTGAGACTCCAGTTTCGCATAGTTATGAGAACAGGAGCAGTTTGGGTAGTACCCATCTAAATTGTATATTCCTGGAGCTAAGTAGTTGTAGGAGAGGCTGTAGGGTTCTTGCCACCCGATGGTGCTTTTAGTGAAGACTGGAAATAGGGACAGCGTTGATACCTCAAACAGTAAGGGGCTCTTCTCTCTAACAGCAGCCATAAGAAGAGCCTTGTCTTGCAAGGATTGGAATCTGACGATTAGATCAGCATGTGCTGCTGGCAGTGCCGTCAATGGTTTTGGCAGTCAGAACATGCTGTCAAGCTTTGCAGCTTTGGTTTGTTTAGGTGGCAACATGGCATGAAGCAGCGGTCGGACAAGATGTGGGAAGTCAGTGAGGCTTACGGAGTCTGGAATGCCCGGAATCTTTAGGTTATAATGCTTCTGCTGGTCTTCTAGAGCATCAACTCTTTCATTGGTGGCCAGTTGTTGTATGTTATGTTCCTCTATTTTATACTGCACATTAGTTAGCCTGGAGTCTTGTGTGCTGGACGTTGCTTCCAGATGAGTGATCTGAGAGGTGGAGCCTTCAATGGTGTCCTTAAATAAGGCCATGTCGGCCGCAATGTTAGATAATAGCTCTGCCGGCATGCCTTTTTGAAAAGATATTTTATATATATATCAGAAGGGTCATCCTATGGTGAGCTAAAATACAATTACTGATGCATAGAAATGAGCAGCTCTGCGAGACACAACCTGTTCAGACATAATAATTGGCTTTTCTATCTGCGAGAGAATAAGTGTGCTCCATCGTTATATATAACTACTACAGATAATTTTTCATGACATACATGAAATTGCAAGTCCCTTAAGATACATTAGGTTTCACTTTCCCCCTGTATCATAAAATAATATTCATCAGAATGATAGAGGTTAGGATATTAGATCCAAAAGGGCACCAATTGTCAATTTCTTGAGGTAAATGATTATTACTGAGAGGTTTTCAACTTTTCAATGGATAATAAACTACTGAGCTAGTAGATGAGCTTAAAAGCTCACTTAGGCTCTCACAAGTAAGAGCAATTATTTATTGATGTTGTAATGTGTATTAGCTGTTCTGCCATAATTTTTGGGGACATCATAAATAATGTACACCATATCAGCTCAATCAATTCCCTCTCAGTTAAAGCACACATGCCTTGGCATGTCCATAATCACTACCTTGGCATGGCCACCATCACTGCAACCAACAGCATCATGGTAGCCATATTGCAATACAGAGTGCATGGCAATGAATAAAGAAAATTATATACTGCACTGGAAAGTGGAGTTTATAAAATAAGTTAAATTGGTCTGTAAATTCATGTATACGTGTCGTAGCAAACTGGCTACAGCAGTGCAAAAATAAAGCAGAAATTGCCTTAAGTTATTCTTCTCAAACCGCCCAGGCTCCTCTTAAAAGAAACAGCTGCAGGGGCGTGGCCTAACTCCGCATGGCAGCAGTCGCATAATTTGGAAGCTCCGCCATTACGTGGGCTTACACAGCGTGGAAACCAGCGATACTCACCCACCACATCTCCCACAAGCCGGCGAGGGAACAGGGGAGGACATGACCACTAAATCCTCCAAAAAACTAAAACAGAAGACGCTGCACTCCCACCTCACGATGGGGAACAATGGCGTCCAAGATGGCGCCGACGGAGCGCACTATTCCGCCTCGGATCACGAGAGTGGAGAAAGCCTGGACCCCCCTAGCATCACCAACAACCACCTAGCCACCGATGCCTCGGTGAGCAGCATGCTACAGTCGCTCCAGACCAACCTGAGGTCGGATTTTTCCAAGATGGCGGCGGACGTAAGGGCAGACATTCAGGCCCTGGGAGACAGAACAGCACACTTGGAGGAGGCAACGGAGGGGTTAAGAGAGGCCCATAATGAGCTGGCAGAAGCGCACACAACATTGCAGCAAAAGGTACAATTCCTAGAGAGCAAAATCGCTGATAACGAGGACAGGGACAGGAGAAACAACATACGGCTACGAGGTGTCCCTGAAACAGTAGGCCCTCAAGATCTGGCCACATTCGTTAAAGAGCTGTTCAAGGCGCTCATTCCGGCATTGGAAACCTCAGACCTGCGCTTAGATCGCACTCACAGATTACCGAAAGCCGAAGCAATTACCTCCAACTACACCGAGAGATGTAATCACCAGAATCCATTACTTTGAGGTCAAAGATCGCTTAATGCAAGCATCCAGATCTAACCCATCATTGCCAAAGCCGTTTGCTGATATCAAACTGTTTATTGACCTGTCAGCGGCAACCATGACCAAGAGACGAGCGTTTGCACCTGTAACCGCAGCGCTTAGGAATGCTGCTATCCCGTACAAATGGGGATATCCCACGAAGATACTACTGAAACGAAATGGAGTGGATTTGGTAATCTTTACCCCAAGAGATGGCGCAAAATTGCTCAAAGAATGGAACATCCCAATGGCTCGACTTGACGTAGCCAGTTCTCCAGCACCCTCATCACCCAGAGAACAACCCCGAGACTACCGACCCATCCCATGGCACGCGGCAGAACCACAGAAGACGCCACACCATCAAGCGAGGCCCAAGGATGTAGAATACCACTGATGGAGTGCAGATATGTATCCCACACAAGAACTATACAAACTAGTTCCCCCCCGGTGCACCCTCGCAGCTGTGCTCACTTGCAAGGTGTCTCACAGCCGAGAGCCCACCCAGGCGGAGAACCGCTTTACTGTTTACGTTACTTAATTGGCACTGTTATTCTTTTTTCCTAAACTTAATTGTACTGTTAAGAAATATTACCTATACGGTATATCAATAGAGGGACGCACACGTATAGCGTTGCGCCCGGTAAATCAGGGCACTATAATCCAAAAAAAAAAAAAAAATTTCTTATTATAGGTAACATAGGAAAACCGTAACAGGTAATACCTACCAGCACCCACAGAGCCCCACTCGGCTTACTTAGTAAGCCATTTCCTTACCCGTCGGCAGATTTCTGCACTAAGCCACCCGGCTAACGGGTTTTGTATATAGTTCAAGTTGTATTGTTATACGTTGAACCCTACTGCACCCCCCCAACCCCCACCCACGCACTTGACGAAATAAGGTGACACTAGGGGCTGAGTAGCACGGCATAGCCTTTACCTCCCTGCCCACCTGATTATAGCGGTGAGGATGTCAATCACTGTACTTTCTCTCAATGCCAAAGGGCTGAACACGCCCCATAAGCGAAGACTGGCACTTTCAGAAGCCAAAAAATGTAAGGCGCAGGTAGCCTTCTTTCAAGAAACCCATTTTAAATGGGGTTCACGGCCTAAATTCAACTCCCCCTGGTTTCCAATAGATCACCACTCCTGCTGCTCCACAAAAAAAAGAGGAGTCTCTATTTTAATAAGTAAGAACGTCACCTTTGAGCTGGTCCGTAAGATTAGCGATAAGACAGGTAGATATCTCATCATTCAGTGTCACATTAACAACAACCCCTTCACATTAATGAATGTATATGGACCCAACGCTAACCAAGAAATGTTTTTGCACCGAATATTTGCCTTGTTGAATATGTACAGCTTTGGGGAGGTAATACTTGGAGGCGATACCAACTTTCTTCTAGATAGCTTTAAAGATTCCTCTGCCTCACATACTATAACACCCAACACCTCTAAGAAACGGCTCACACAATCGCATAACATATGCGATATCCTAGCAACACATGATTACGTAGACCCTTGGAGAATTACACACCCCAACGAAACTGATTACACATGTCATACAGCGGTACACAATAGCTACTCCAGAATTGATAGGTTCTTGGTCAGAACCACCTCCCTTCTCAAGATACTAGACACTACCATAGGGGACATCACGTGGTCCGACCACGCACCAATCACGTTAACGATCAAGGACCAGTTCCCTCAGACTGGCCAGAGAACTTGGAGGTTAAACAACACCTTGTTAACAAACACACACATAGTCCAGGAAGTCACACAGGACCTACAAAACTACTTTGAGGACAATGATAAGCACAACACTGATCCGGATCATGTCTGGCTAGCACACAAGGCGGTCATTAGAGGCAGCTTCATAAAGCATGCCAGCCATGCCTACAAGACACAAAGAGCACAATACTTAGCCCTTATCAGTGAGATCAAACACACCACACACAACAACAAACATGCACCCACCCCTGAGACACAACGAAAACTCTTGAGCCTGCAAACACAATTACGAGATATAGAGTTAACCAAAACAACCTACCTTTTACGAAAATCAAAACACAAATTCTTCGCGGCAGGGAATAAAGCAGGCGCTAAGCTAGCGGCGCAATTAAAACAAAAAATGATCGCCTCCAGGATTGCCTACCTCACCGATGGAAAAGGTCACAAAACTATTGACCCACGAGATATTGTTAATATGTTTGCAAATTACTATCGTCAGCTATACAATTTAAGTGAAGAGGGTACCACTAAGGTCCCAACTGTAGCGGACATAGACGGATTCCTACAAGACCTCTGCTTGCCCGCCCTGACACCGACCGCAATACAATCACTACGACAGCCTATCTCGGTGATCAAAGACTTACACGTTGACAAATCACCTGGACCAGACGGTCTCACCAATGCCTATTACAAACTATTTGCGAATACCCTCTCCCCGTACTTGTTGAAACTATACAGACAGAGTAATGACAGAGGAGCCCTACCGGCTGAAGTACTTCTAGCACATATATCCACCCTCCCCAAGCCAGGGAAACCACCGACACACTGTAAAAATTTCAGACCCATCTCCTTACTAAATGGGGATGCTAAAATCTACGCCAAGATCCTTAGTAACAGAATAGCACCACTCCTCAGGAACTTAGTGCATAACGACCAGTCAGGGTTTGTCAGAGGACGGCAGGGCTCAGACAACACCAGACGAATCCTCAACATACTGACACACATGGAAAAAAACAACACAGGGGGCCTTCTCTTGGCGCTAGACGCGGAGAAGGCATTCGACCGCCTCAATTGGAAGTACATGTCTGAAGTCCTGGGGAGGTACAGATTTCCGCCCGAAATGATTAGAGGGATAGAGGCGCTGTATAGTGCACCAGCGGCGAGGGTCTCCAACGGAGGCTTTACGTCTGACAAATTCTCTATTACTAATGGGACGCGCCAAGGTTGCCCCCTGTCCCCCCTCCTCTACATTCTCTCGCTGGAACCTCTGGCGCTAAAGATCCGTACGAATCCTGACATAAGAGGAGTAACAGTGACAGGCCAGGAACACAAACTGGCACTGTTTGCCGATGACGTCTTGGTGTCATTAACAGACCCAGAGAAGTCATTGCCACACCTTATGAACACACTTACCGACTTTGGCTTAGTTTCCCACTATAAACTTAACCAAGATAAAACTCAGGCACTGACGGTTAACCTACCATTAGAACGCACGCAGACACTACAACGACAACACCAATTTGACTGGAGACTCTCATCCCTCACATACCTAGGGGTCAAAATCGCAACTTCCATAGCAAAAATCGTAAAATTAAATTACCTACCCTTACCACACATGTGCAAGGCGGACACCCTAAAATGGAAACATGTACACCTATCCTGGCTAGGAAGGATTAACGCCTTCAAAATGTCTATATTACCCAAAATTCTTTATGTTTTCCGTATGCTACCTCTCACGGTACCACAACCTCTGCTTAAGAGCATACAACATACGTGCAACACCTTTATATGGGACAATAAAAAGCCCAGGATCCCTCACAGACTTTTGTACACTCAGGTCAAACAAGGAGGAGTGGGTCTACCAAACATTAACCAATACTATAAAGCCGCAGCGCTAACAGCCGGCATAATGCTACACTCTCCTAAAGGGGACATCAGCTGGGTAGACATGGAAAACGCCCAACTAAAAACATTAAATATAGTTGATGTCCTATGGACGCCTAAACACCTACGGATCCCCAAACTAGACCTATTTCACTCATGTCTTTGACACTTCGTATATGGGACACGTTTATGGCCACAATGGGGTGCAAACTTTCCTTCCATCCCCGGGCACCACTGACTGCCCTAAGAACCGCATCCCCCGATCTCCCTCTAACAAGGTGGACTAAGGCAGGAATCACCAACATCCAGCACCTAGTAGACAATAAAGGCGTAATAGCATTTGCGGATATACAGGCCAAATGGCACCTACCGATGAGGGAGGTATTTACCTACCTAAGACTCAAAGGGACCATACTGACTCATGTGAACCTACACGACAACACTCGGGAGCAATCACTGGTG